ACGATGACAATTAGGGTTTCTCGTTGGCAATTAATTCTATGCGTTTCTATTCTCTTATCATATTCATATTATCAACCGAGATCTCGAGATCGTTTTCTACAGCTTTATCATCAGTATTTGCATTTTGAAATCTATTAAATTTTAAATAATACAGAACAGCAAATTATGCTAAAAAAATGACACATCAAGTAACAGAAATATACGGGCATACATACTATATGAGACAATAAACACAGCGTGTGATTTAAAATGTTCGAATGTATTTTTATTTTTCAATAAGGGTGCTTTACAGGGGTTTTATAAATAGGTATGTATGGAATATCATCTTTTAGGCATTCTATTATCTATAAAAATACATAATGTAATTGCTTAATAGCATACACTGTGCCTCTGACAACCCCGTGACTTTCGGAATGGAATAGGCTTTATTACATGAATAATGTTTTCTGAACACAATAACACATATTCATCCAATTTATATAGATAATGGCATTACATATATTCATACATGCACCGACTGAAATGTCGTAGAATAATGTTACAGTATAATACAATTAATTTGATGGATAGAAGTGTAGAAGATGTTAGTGATAAGATTAAAATCTTATGTGTTTGTGTGTGTGTGCCACGGCCATATTTTTACCACTTCTGTTATTTACATTTTTATTAAAACTAAACCCAGACTCCGAGTCTGGCTTTGTCCTTAAAACGCAGGGTTTCCCATCACCACCAGAGCCAGAATGTCTTCATTTGAAGGCTCTGAGGACGTGATGTTTAAGTCTTCAAGGGATGGAGTCAGAAACGAATCAAATAAAAGAGACGATGTCGCGCGGTGGAGTAGAATGAAGTTGATGTGATATATTTATGACTGTGCATTAAGATACATTATACAATGCGTTTAGAATGATATTAAGACGTCCAAGAAGATACAGTGCCGGTGAAATAATGTACCTTCATTCCATGAATACCTGAGGCCCTGCCTTAAGACAGTTGGTGGCAGTTTTCAATTTGAAAACTGTTCAACAGCCTTATTAAATGTGTGTGCTCTAAGATAGATGTTTTGATTATAAATTATTCTTGAAGTTTGATCGAATCAGTTGTTATAATTAGCTACCGGTACAGTAGTAGACAAAGAACAGTAGACAAATCATGGTCTGTTAATAATTACCGTAATTAATCAATTTTTATATTTATTTGTTTATTTATAATGTTTATGTATAACTTAACTGTGGTGTACTGTACCGGTACTAGGCCTTAAAGTTTATTTTTTTAATTGACTGTCTTTGGAACTGATCAGAAGTAAAAGGGAATTGAAATTGAATTGAATTAAATATACTTTCCTAATTCGTTAAATTGTGTTGATTTATATTATGAAAGGACTATATATATATATATATATATATATATATATATAATATACATACATATATATATATAGGCCTATATACATATAGGCATATACACAAATTAGGTCTACTGCGTAAACAAATAAAGCACTGTTCTGGTGTTATCTGGTATCTGTATTAGTCAATGGGTGACAATTTTTTGTCACCAAATACCAAGTACTGTAAAATAATGTAATGGTATATAAATCATCAGTTATTAGCTACAACAGTACTTACTTTACAAACAAAGGCTTAGCAAAATCAAGTGAACCAGTTATTACATTACATCAGTTTCCATGAAAGTGTTCGTCGTTGATTCAATGGCGTAGCTGTTATAAAAATCGTTAACATTAATGTAAAGATAGTACAGTTCCTCTCCAGAGGCGGATTTAGATTAGGCCGGACCGGCCGCGGCACCCTTTTTAGAAAGTTAAAAAAAAAAGAAAGAAAAAAAATAATTGATAGCCCAAAGTGCCTCAGAAGTTATATTTTCGGACGTATAGAAAACAAACAAAATCGCGGTGGCATGCCCCCGGACCCCTAGGTAGTGTTGTCGCAATCGCGTCCAGCAAACGACCGTCGCGCAGTGGGTGCCCGGCTCAGGGAACCTGATAATGATAATTGGCAGGAAGCCCAAAACATTGCTGTACAATATGAAAGCAATGTAATCATATACATGAGCCTTATGTTTGCGAGGTATTATACAATTAGATATACAATTACAAGTGCTAAAATTCAATAAACATCATCGATGTGTATATTGTTAATTCAATTTTTTAGTGCAATAGGGCGATCTCTCATCCAAATCAAAATGACGCTTTCTGCTTGCGGAACCACTAATCAATAACCGTTCATGAAGAGTTAACAACCAGCTCACCGCTGTTAACGTACTGTAGGTACCGTAATTGAATTTGAATGAATATTCTATTAATTAATATGAATTATGGTTCATCTAGCATAGTTTCACTTGAATATTCGTTTTAATTAACTTTTATTAATTTAACAAATTACATTAGCATCCAACAGCGATCGACAAGTCACTTAGGCCTATATAATGGGAAAAAAAAAACAACAGCAAAGAGAACAAAAAACAAAACTATTATCCTGGCAGATGCAATGTATTTCGAATATGGACTTAGCCTCTTTCCACCTAGAATAATGTGTACATGGTAGGGACTCTAGCATTTTGCGTGTTATAAATATACGCAATTGTCCAACAGAGAACTGAGTATAATGTCCCGGGGGAAATCGTGCCAAGTGCATAGAGGCCTTGTTTGGTAGGAGGCCTACGGTATGAAGCTCGGCGCATTAATGTTGTTATGATGATACTGTACAATATATAAGCTTACTGTACGCATCAATGAGGCTTATGGAACTATAGAATTGATTTTAGTCGTGACAAAAATTCTTAAGGATTTCAACCCGAACCTGATTATGCACAAGGCAAACCTAACCACAATGGTCCATCTGGGAGAACAGTAGTATATTTACTTTATACAGTAAATATACAGGAAGACGTCGTCTGCTATCTCTATGGACGTCGTCTGCCATCTCTATGGAGGAAAATAAAATGATGATTTATGAATTTTTAACCCAGTGTAAAGAACATATAAATAAATAATCCGAATGCAGCTCCACTCCGGAAAAAATCAATTGTTCATAGTAAACATGGACGGATCTAGAGGTGTCCGAAAGGGAGGCTGAAAGTGGGGGCTGATAGAGATAACACCACGATAGGGATGGGGTGGGATTTTTGTTTTTTAGACGCCCGATCGAGAGACAACACTACCCTGTTTGTTTTCACGAACACAAAGCATTGGTTGAAACATTTCACATGTTATAATTTATTTTTAAGAGTGATCAGTATGTAAAGCCAATGTAAATCACCGAACCATTGTCCCACAAGGTCTATTAGGCGAACTTAGTTTAATAGATGAGAAGACAAAATTGATCTCTAATGTATTGACCATCATAAAAGATGTTAAAAAATGCAATAGATAATAATACAACTCAGACTAGCTGGGAACGTTTCGCACTTTTCAAATACATTTCAATCCAGATCATTAATGAATTCTTATGCATTAATGGACGAATTACCAATTCCGTCTGACTACAGTTAAAGTTGTACATATGAAAGACGATGCTACGCTTTTTTTTACATGTATATCTCGACATACTAAACATGAATAGAAAGCCACACATAGAGGATAAATCCCCACAAACCAAGTAGGTAAAAACGTTTTGTAACGGCTTGTCGATTTGTATTTTTAAGAGTCCTGAGCCTAGTTTATGGCAGAACACGGCAAATCGCTTCGTGCATGCATCATGAGGTCTTGTAATGACTTTTCTGAAAATACTTGACCATACTTCGAAGAATGTTGACTAATAATTATATGACAGTTGCTACCTCCATTAGGCCTAAAACTTGTTGTAATAGTCACTATGAAAAATGTTTATGATGGTAAATTTGCCCTTCCTCATAGTTATTACAGATCTTGATTTTTACCTAAAAGTCATGTATGATATTATTTTTATCTTTGTAATCGAATTTTATTCAAATTCGTTGTATGTTTCTGTCAGTAAGTGTAATTTTTATGTTGTTTTTTTTTTCGTGCATAACGATGACCAATAAAAGTGGTTAGGCCATATTGAATTAAATAAAAGTTACTCATTTTTGCCATTTCCATTTAGAATTAAATAAATGAAACACGTGCACGCATTGTTTCACTTATTTCATGCCATGAACTTCAGCATTTCTGGGATTTTTTGATATTATATAATGCATCATATTATTACAATCTAGCTACATTATACGTTTATTTTTCCTCTATTTTAGGATGAAGTAAAACAACAAATCCGTTTACGTGTGTGGTTAAGGGAGGTAGGTGCCGTAGGGGCCTGACTGTACACAGCTGGCCACAGAAGACCAAATGAAATGTATCTCGTCCCATTCCTAATCGTTTTTAGCATTTATTTATAATTTTAAATTGAATAA